TATATAGAGATGGATAGATAGATATATTTACTATCCTTATTGTGTTAGATGTTTCCCCTCATTCCTGTAGAAGGTTTAAGCCCCCAGATGACACAAATGCATAATCACTAGTCATCCATTAAGGTAGCTCTAAAATTCGTACTTCATTCAACTACTTCAATAGGAGACATGTCTCTCTTACCAAATCACATTATTTTGACCTCTTTCTTGCCATACATTCAGTGGATGTTAATCCTGAACTGACAGCCTAAGCAGCCTACATCATATGGTCTCTGGCTACCAGTCATTACTGCAGACAGGTTACTGTTTTCAATCAACAGCGGGATAAGAGGAAAAGAGGTGCCCCGTGTACATAGATAATTCTATACAGAGAAACAAGGCTGTTATTACATTAACACACACAGATCAGATTAAAGCTGGATTGCAGCTAAAATTTTAAATGATTGGGCCAGAAATAGTAAAAATTTGGAAGAAAAGGAAACTGTTTTTGCAGCAATGTGAACCTTCATTCCAGAGTTGCGCCCTCACAGCCCACAATAATTCCTTTCCACCACTAGATGTCCACAGTCTTCTGGGTTGAATGATGGCCGATGCCTGTAACCCACTTACTCTGAAGCCGACATCACGCGGCCTGGGTTCAGAATACTAATGCACTGGATGGCGCTCACACAGTTCATTGCAGCAGTAACAGAGGGAAAGGGGCAGCCGGTGGGATATCAGTGCGCAGGCAGTCTAGCACTAGATTTTTAACTGGCCAGGCTGCAGGCGGTTTCGTGGGCCACGGCTGTTGGATGAAGTTAAATATATCGAGTAGACTAGTGAGGGGGGGCTAAGCTAAAAAACACTGAACTTGTGCTTTAACTATAGAACCTTTACAATGAGATCTGCTTTTGGTAAGGTTTTGGACATATTCAGTAACATTACTAGAACTATCAGCACAACTTATTTTTCACAGAGCTTCACATACATTTGCATAGAGCCCTTGCGTGTTATTCTGTGCGTTCCTATAATTTAATAAATGTAGACCGGAATTATGGCAATTATCACCATAATATAACTATTAAGTATGCATGGGATTTGCCATAATTGTTGTCTTTTATGGTGTTAATAACATCAATCTAAGTTAAACAAATGCTGTATTCTTTTTAAGTTATTCGTTTATTTATTATACTGAAGGACATACATTATTGTAAAGGTATTTAAAGGTTTGGTGCCGGCTAAGTTGTCCCTTGAAACTTTCATTTTCATTTTTTAATGCATTTCTATGGTGCTGCTGACAAGGTTTCCTCACGCTTATGGTTTTTACATGGTAGGGAGATCTGTGCCCCATAAAGCCTCAGTGTAAGCAAGTAGTGTTTTTCTGCCTGGTGCTACAAGAGCAAATGAAGAAGAACAGTGTCAAAGTAAAGACACATCAGGATCACATGAACTGGATTGTAATACTGATTTTGGAGAACTGATATTTGATTTGTGGGAACATCCCCTTAGAGCAGCCTTCTGCATGAAGTTCATTTCGAGTACATGTGGCACATATGGTTTTTAGTATGAAAACCTTTGTTGTGTGAACGTCTTTGTTGTTTGATGGGAGAGACGAGGACTATTCTAAATCAGAGCCCAACTCTGAAAGCTGCTGTGCTGGGGTGGACTGTTAGGGTGCATTTACACCTGTCTGCTCAATTTATTTATTCAGGTATCCATGGCGGCACCTCTCATAACGATGTACACAGTAACGCACAGCAACACACCGTACGTGTTGGTACGTTGCAGTGCCATTTTGTTTTGAATAACACCCCAATGACCCTGCTTTGCAGCACACTGCAACAAACTACCCGGTATTTCTTAGTGCAAGGAGGGATGCAGGTACATTTTTCTGTATGGTCCAGTGTGTTGGCGCCCCATTCAAAATAATTTTGCCTGTCAAAACAAATCAGCTTCTGTCTCAATTTCAAATCTTACCTGGGCCAACTAAAGAGAGATGCTGATTGGTTGCCATGGGCAACTGCTCCAGATTCTGCCTGCTCCAGTTTTGATAAATTCCCCCCCATGTGTTCTCATGACAGCACTTTTCACCCAACTTCTACTATGTCTCAGAATAGGTGATTTCAGAGTCGGACCTACATTTTACACAGTCCTCTTCTGTTTGTTGGAAGTCAAGGGAAGCCGTAGGCAGTAACAGATGGACACCCGAAGCTGTCTATGATCTTGTGCGTATGGACATGAACAGATTCCAGCTGGCCAATCTCAGCCAGACCGCATTTATTTATTTATTTTATTGTATAATTTTGGCTGATCTTTTCCTGCCCCTATCTAGGGTTAGCTGGAGGGGACTGTCAGTTCTCCCTTTTCTTCCTCTATGAGGGAAATGTATACAACAGAGTAATGTAAGCGTATATATATTCGGCACAAATCTGTTTAAAAAAACAAAAACCTCTTTTTAGGCTGTCCGATCATGCCTGCTAATCCAGTTGGTTTGTCATGTCTATGGCAAGCTTGACACTCTCAGAGAATCTCTTAAGTAGATTTTAGCTTAGACTTTGCTTGTATAGTTATATGTGATGTGGTTGTAATGTGATGATGATCAGAATGTAATAGATTGTAGTATGTAAAAGGTTGATTTATACACATTATAACTACTTCTCTTTCTCTTTTAGGAGTTCTAGAACAAGGTTGGCAGGCTGATTCTGCCACACGAATGGTAATGCCGAAGAAACCAGGTAGGTGGAGATATAGGTTCAATATCTGTACATTTGTGAGCTCAGCATTTTTCCGATTTATTGCTGTCCCCCTATATCTATACAGTTGTTCTGTTGTTTGACTTAAAGTGACACTAAACTCAGGAGTTAAATCTTAAAAATGCATTCAAGTACCTGAACTATTAACAAAATGTATCTTATTTGTGTATCGCTCAGCTGCAGAGCCTCAAATCTTCTCTGAATTCCCGCTGGCACTCTCCTTCCTTCTGGAGGGTGGCTACTTTTGTTCCCCATGGTCCCTGTGTGTGTTGTAAAGTAGTCATCACTCTCGCCCATGAGGGACTACAATCTCGCGTTTAGTGTACTAATTTGTTTTGAGATTGTAGTCCAGAGAGCGAGCTTGGAGCGGTGACTACTTTACAACACACACAGGGGCCATGGGGAACAATAGTAGCTCCTCTCCAGAAGGAAGGACAGTGTCTGCACCAATTCCGAGATGATTTGAGGATCTACATCTGAGTGATACACAAATGAGATACATTTTACAGAACTTGATTGCATTTGTGCCACTTTAAGGTATGGATTCGTTAATTAACATCATTGATTTTTCATGCTTAGCTTTGACTGGCTGCTTTGTTCAGCTAATAAAAAACTTGGCAGATTTTGCTCTTCATTTTAACGAAAGGCAACTTCTGTGAATCACGAGGAATGAGGTCACATCCGCCCTCTTCCCTCATTTTAAGCCACGTCTTAAAATAACTCCACAATTTTTCTCTCGCACACTGTCTGAGCTGGAGGGAGAAAGGCATTAAATGTTCTGTTCATAATTTCCTAAAGCGCTTCAGGTCTTAGGAGAAGGAGGGAGGGGAGGGAGATGTGCAGCATGGTAACACTGTGTACATTTTGGGCGGGAGGTCAGAGTAACGGTTTGTTCTGCTTTCCACACAGATTCTGCTCCCCTGTCTCTGATCCCCAACGAACAGCAGCTGGCGAGACTCACTGACTACGTGGCCTTCCTAGAGAACTAGCATCCCCTTCCAGCCTGACATCAAGTATGCAGGAAGCTGGGGGAGCGGCAGGCCGGGGATTCTCTGCACTTTGATGCCCGAACCTCTGAATCCTCACATTTTATATACTCGTTAAAGGCTGGGCAAACGCCTCAGCTGCTCCAGGACTGAAAGGGTTAACGTGGGAGGGAGAAGGCACCAACGGGCCGACTTGAAACTTGGCTTTGTTAACCACTTTGCTGCCAGGAAGACCTGCACTCATATTCACAGTAATGTGTCACAAATCTCTCTGGCAGAAAAGAGGTTTTAGTTATTTTACATACAATTTAGCAATAGATACTTTACTTTCAGTCTAATATGACTTAGGTTAGCCTGTTATTGAAATGTCCTCTTCTAGCTGTGTTACCGAAGTAAGGTTTTCCAGGCTTCTTACTGGTAGTGGAATATATTCGCATCTCATTTCCTCCTAGTAATTACAGACATGAGGAACTTTCTGTTGGCTGTTTTCGTAGTGACACCACGTGTATCACAAGGTTCTTGGACAACCGGGCGTTGCCATGTTACAACCTTCCTGTCTGATTTTTATATACTGGCCAGTCGGTATATGGAATGTTTGGCAAACACACTTCTTTAATATACAAAGGAAAACAGTGACAGCTACTTGTGTCACAGCAGGCAAGTGAAGGTGGGGATTTGTGCTGGAACCTTTAGCTTGTTATCCAGCAGTCCGTCCTGTCAACTGTTTTCAAGCAGCATTCGGTACACACCTGATTTAAAGGGTCAGTCCACCCAAAACATATGGCAATGGGTAGATGTTGGTGATTTGGACCACTTGATCTGTTCTTCAGCACTCTGTTGAGATATTACTTGGTGGAGTATCTAACTCTGCCATCCCTTGCTCTGGATTCTTACAAGTTCTCTTGTTGCTGGACAAGTTCCACTCCAGCTGCACTCTATATAACATGAGGAACAAATCAGCCAGGTGGGCGAACCTTGGAACTTGGGCCGAGATATCTCACCCGCGGAAGTCTCTCAATGATCCATCATATAAATGATTCAAACCACCAGGGTCCATCCAGAAACTGAAATGAATGTTATAGGAGGACTGCCCCTTTAGTGATGCATGGGATTACTGGCAGGAGAAATGTTTTCAGTTTGCCTTATCCCAACATGGCAAATAGTTTTGTCTAAAAGTCGATGGACTCCTGAAAGAATATCAGATAGAAGATGAAGTGTGTGGCACTTCAGGGTTATGGTCCCTCCAGACACTGCATGGAAGGTGGAGCAGTGTTAATTTTGTGAACTTGTATTTTGATCTTGAAGATCTTCAAAGAATGACCCATTAAAACATGTTTATTACACAGAGATGTATGACTGTTATTTCACAGCAGGATTTGAAACGCATCTGGAAATTGTTAATCCAGCAGTGCAATGGGGCAGTGTATGCTGAATGGTGGCAGACTTTAAAGCTCCCCTGCAATGTAGTTGTATGTTGAAAGTAGTATGAGGGATTAGTGAGCTGGCTCTGAATCCAGTACAGCAATCCAGAAGTCTGATGTATACGTGGAACTAAATGCCAAGAACATGTTGTGTGGTTTTTAAGATTTCTTTTTTTCCTCTAAAATACCTTTTTTGTGATTTTGAAGCTTGACCACATTTCCATCGTAGATATGCATGTAGTTTTTTACTGTAAATCCTGTAAGCACCACTTTGTATATAATAAATGTTATATAATATATTTATATAATACATTTTAGAAAGCATACCTGCTAAAAATGAAATTGAGGCAAAAGACTAAATACTCAGATGAAATGCATATTAGGGAGCCGTTTACCTGCCAAAGGATTTACATTGCTTTTGCGTCCATCCAGTCCGTCGCGGATCTTAGTCATATTAAACCTTTTTTTATTTTTAATCAAGAGGTTCAGACTTACAATTTTTTTGTACATTCTTGTTAAAATTTGCTGCTTTCCTCTTCCTGCAGCTGGTCCCTAAACTGCTTATCCTGCTGCATGTTTGCAGGTGTTTTGTTGGGTTTTTTTTTCAGCTAGCAGGCTGCTGAGGAGACACCCGTGCATGTACGTTCACACCTGTAGCCCGCACCTAGCTGTGTGCTTCCATAGCCGCGCACGGCAAGCCACGCCCTGTTCCCACCACCTCCCACCTCCTAAAAGCTTGACTGACAGCAGAAGGAGCCTATCACTCCTCTGCCCTCAGTAACCTCCCCCACAACCAAGAAGTTCAGGGAATGCAGAGCATCTTCCTGGTCGCGGCAGAGGAATTTGAAGAAAAACATCAGGCAATCTAAAATGTAATCCTTGCAGTGGGGCCATCTCTTTGCTGCAAAGGTTAACTGCTCCTTTTGGTTTGGTAAAACCAAGATTAGGTGGACATTGCACCAAAGAAACATCAACTGATGCTTGCCTTTATGAGTCTGTTCAGCTTCACTGCTAGTATGCCCATGGAAGTCAGAGAATGGCAGTGTCCATCAAAGACTTTTCACAGGGCTATTTTGCTTTATGCCAGATTTCTTTTTCACACACTTTGTATCTATTTAGGGATGTACATTCTTTATGTACTGTATGTGGCAATAGTTCCTATGTCTTTCATCCAAAGCAGATTGGAGGAGGGATTAAATATTAGCAACCATGTAAACACTTGGAAAAATGATGCAGATTTTCCAGCTGAAGGTCTACAGGAAAAATACAGAGTTCACTTTCCAGCACACATGGACCCTTAAAGCGGACCTTAACCCATATCTTTAAAATAACAACAAACACACCTTTAGAAATGTTTAGTAATGACAATCTACAAACACATACTTCTAGATAATTGCCGGCTCTGTATTCTTTGCATACCCTATTTCTTCCCCAGTCTTCTGGCAGTGGCCATTTTTACTAAGGGCAGATTACTAGTGCTCCTATTACTAGTGTGACTAGGACCTGTTACCATACATATCATCTCAGGGGAGGAAAATGCCTTTCCCTGAGATGCTGTGAGATTACAGATGAGATTTCCCAGCAATGCTCTGCTGATGACAAGGCAATCCCAGTGTGCATTGCGTTGGCAAACTGAAGTCATTTTGCCCTTTCAAAGCACGAAGTGAATGCTCTGCAAGTGTAAGTATTTCAAAATCACAGCATTTTACACCGGACATGTCTGTTATTAATTATCATACAGTACATAGAGGAATGCATTGGTAGAATTTGATCTTTGAGTGTAAAGGTCCTTTAAGTACCACACAAGTCATAATTACTCATTCACTAGTGGGTGCACCAAGTCCGTATAGTAGCCTCTACAAAGTGGTGCACTCAATGACCTGTTTCCAGACAGAACTTGTAGCTAATGAATTGTTGGGCACTCGCTATATTACCATAACCGCAATGTTTTTTCCATCCTTGAGGAAGAACATATAAACACTATCAGTTGAAAGGCATTCTGTGTGAAATTGCATATTCACAGGCCTTTGTAAAGGTGTAACAATGTACAAAGAAGTCTACAATATTTTGTTACTACAGCACTTTGTGATTAATAAGAATCAAAATGAGAAATGACTGTAGACTGGACATGGTAGGTGAGTGGTGTTCCATGTAAGCCATCAATAGAAACAAGATTATGTACAGTTAAAGGGACAATATAGTGTGTTTTTAGTGATGATATGTTTTGAGTTACTGCAATGTTTACCTTTTTATGTAATTTGTTTTTAACGATATTTATGGCCTACTCGCACTAAAATCAGAAGGAAATCGCAAATCTGTTGACTTCCGTCCCGTTGCTTTTTTTTTTTTGACAATCTTTATTTTAATTCACATTTCCTGAGTGGACAAACATCTATGTATTTTTTGTGATTATATCTGTTTTTGTTCTGTTACATAGAGCATGTTACTAGTCCCATTCCCACCCATTCATTTTTCAGTGCCCTTGCGTTAGCATCCGTTGAAAAATGGATCACTACACAACAGATCTAATGTGAATAGGTACTAGATGTAGGCTGAACCACTAGAGGCAGGGTAGATTAGCTCCTACAATGACACAGCCTAGATTCTTAACAATTGTTTAGATATCTGCCACACAGGAGTGAATTGTGCCCACTGACTCAAACTTACATGTGTTAGGTTGGCCGTGTATGGCTGGAATTTGGCCCGAATTTGGACCTTGGGTGGCCCTGCTGACACCATCCAGCTCAACAAACTATATTTTTGCTCTGTATTTGCGCACATAAAAATGCGCACAAATGCGGAAGCAAAAAACGCAGAGCAAAATCTGTTATATGAGCTTTTTTGATGCATTTGTTCAGACCCCATTGAACTAAATGGGGATGTGCAGCAAACTCAGCACACAAATGCGCACGAGCGTGCAAACATGTGTTCGGGGAATGCGCAGGTGTGAATGCAGGTTTAAGAAGAACTACAACCTCCTATCCTTTACAGCCAAGGAAGGTGCTATTATAGCCTCTATTTGGATTGCATGGTGCTGCACATGAGATCAGCTATGACATCAGCTATTTGATGGCTTTAAAGTTTGGTTGAGAGCTGAAATAAGCACACTGGCAACTTTGACAGGTGGCATGCCTTAAAAGTAACTGTTTTGGGAGACATTCAATTGGGGTTCCTTTTCCTATTACTCTGATTGCTAAACAGAAATAGGCTGGTGACAGGAATTGGGGTGCTTGATCAGGTTTAACCAGACAGTCTTCCCATAAGAACACTTTCTGTATTGTGGAAGAAATTCAGTTTAGTTAAAGCTTTCAGCGTTCATTTCCTCCTATGCCAAAAAAGGCAGGCACTGTGTTTCTGTGCAGGTGATCATCTTAGTAGAGGCAGGGCTTTGCTTCATCATGCCATAGCCTCCAGCAAGGAGAACAGTGAACCCCACGGTAGTAAAATCACACAATGTTGGTCCACATTGTGTGAAACTAGCAGTAAGAGGCAGCAGTGCCTTAGATCTCACACAGCAGATATAGGAGTGTCTAGGCACACTTGCATACCAGGAAGTGTGATGCTATTATTTAGGAGGAACTCAAGACAAAGGTACATTTTTGAGGTACTGATTAGATACAATTAACATGGTTAAAGATTCTCTATAACATAGCAAATATTCATTTTCTAGCTCAGTTACACTTCAATTTTTGTATGCTGTCTTAAGTGGCAATTTGTACCAACGCATAATTCATACATTTGCACCATGTTACAACTGCTGGAAAATTATGTTAAAGTCTAAAGGGTTTTATGCTATTTCAAATGGGGATTAAATAACTTACAATGGATACTGCTCCTTCATGTTTAAAGGTTTTAGCTTTCTACAGAATCAGCTGGTCCCCTGAGCACTGATCCTGATTTCCTGTTTTAGGGTTTTTACAACATCGTTTGTTTGCTTACGACAGCTTTGTGGTGAGTCGATCACAGCAACGCAGCGGCTATTTCGTCGAGAATTCAATGTTAAAATCAATGTTGGTCGACATGGAGCAGTTGCCAGTCGCAACACGGTCCTCGGGTTTGTTCAGAACAACCGGAAACATTATTAACAAGAAACCACCAGTCCCTCCCGCACTGCAAGGACGCCGGTAAACATTGCACGGGTGAGAGAGGCACTGGTTAGGAGCCCGGGACGGTCTGCTCGAAGACGTGCAAGTGAGTTAGGGTTGAGTGGTGAATCAGTGAGAGCCAAGATCACGTGAATTCGCACAGCAAAGTCTTATTCTTGCTCGTAATCTCTCACATTGAGCTGTTGAACAACCTGCATTTTGTATGGATGGAATCTTAAATCTCTCTGTTAAATGGCTCTCACTGAATCACGACTCAACCCTAACTCACTTGCATGTCTTTGAGCAGACCGTCCCAGGCTCCTAACCAGTGCCTCTCTCACCCCTGCAATGTTTTCTGGCGTCCTTGCAGTGCTGGCGGGGCCTGGTTGTTTCTTGTTCATAATGTTTCCGGTTGTTCTGATATATTCAACCCACCTGAGGACCGTGTTGGGACTGGGAATGACCCCGTGTTGAATTCTCGACGAAATAGCCGCTGCGTTGCTGTGATAGACTCGCCACTTCAAACAAAGCTGTCGTAAGCAAACAATGGTGTAATGTCCACTGCTTCATTGTGTTTGAATTGGCATTCCAGTGGGGGGGAAAGACACCTAGCTCGTCCCCCTCCCATCACCACTTACTATCTACTACCTGTTCTAAAAATGTCCGATTCCCGCCGGTCACCCTGTATGTAGAAATAGTTTGCTGGGCAAGGCATATATCTTTCATATGGATTAATTACTGAAAAACAAGTTTGAGAGTTCAATACTACTTTAAACATAACGCTGATGCCTAAATTCAGTAAATTGATGTTGCTCCTTTATAATACTCAGAAAGTTTTACAAACTTTCCACCTTCAAAATGATTAATTGCTAAGTGGAATATTCATGACGGTTGCTTAGCGATGTAGATGTTATGGACTTCATTACTGGAGCTTCTGGACATTCTGATTTTGCGGAGAGCTGATGAGTCATGTTATAGGTTATATGAATGATTTTTGGCCCTTTGCCTTTTCCACAGTACTGATGTGGGGGAAATGTCTTGGAGAGAATGCGTGTGGGAAAGTCAGTTCTGTGTGGGCGAAGTTTGGTTAATAACCACAGTGAGGCGCCAACGCTCAGCCTGTAGATTAAAACCATCTATAACATAAAACATTTTAATTATATGGAACAACATTGTCACATCCAAGTTATAAGCTGGGTTAGTATTGTATATATTGGTAACCTCTGCTGTAACCAGCAACGCTAATAAAATATGACTCAGATGTTCTATAACACATACTCAGAACGGTATGTAGTAAAAGAAAATATAAAGCTTTGAAGAACTTGCAAAGTGCCGTACTGTCAAGAGTAAAGAGCTGTTCCAAAGGGAATAGCTGTCTAAATACTTCTGCTTCTTAACCTAGGCTGCAGAACATGAATTTCTCCAACCAGTATGGTGCTATTAGCAGACTTTCATGTGTTCTTGTTACTGAAGTTGACTTATTATTACAACTCACATGTAACATAAATCAACAGGGAATATGTCAGCCTTACTAAACCACAATGTTACTTTGCATAAAAAAGTAGCCCTCTCTCCCTGAAGAAAAATTGGTTTCCGCTAGTTCCCTGATAACCTAAAGCCTTGATCAGGGGTCAGCAACCCACGGCTCTGGAGCCGCATGTGGCTCTTTCATCCCCCTGCTGCGGCTCCCTGTCCAGGGGAGATCGGCATCGCAGATGGTATGTGCAGAACTGATCTGCCCTTGGACAGCTGTTCGGTCCTGAAATGTCACTTCTATCCGACTTTGTGAGAGGGGTGGAATGTGAGATCGCACTCACAGAGTCGTATAGAAGTGACATTTCAGGACCGAACAGCTGTTCCAGGGCAGATCAGTTCTCCTGCACATACGATTTGCGATGCCAATCTGCCCTGCAACAGCTGACAAAGCATTGGAATGCTTCACCTATCGTTGAAACGTAGGTGAGTCAGATATACTCACCTAAGTTAGCTCTTTAGGTCCATCACTGCTGCCGTTTCCGTGTGGCGGACAGCAAATCCAGCGGTCCTCTACTGGATCCTGAGATGACTCTGGCCAATGGACATTCAATAGAAAGTGTCCACATCATGCAGGCATTGACGTGAACACTCAAAGAAGCAGCCAAGCAGGAAGTAACCAGAAGAGCTAAGGACTCAGGGCTGTAGCATCGCATGACTACGTCTTAAGGTTAGTATAGAAAAAAAAAGGCTTTTAGATATGGATTTTTTGTTGTTGTTTAGCAA